CCGCCGCGCCCTCCAGTTGTGCCGCCGGCGCGCTCGCCCCATCGCCGCACCCACGTGCGCTCCCACACGCAGCCACTTCCGGGGTCGTCCGCTCGGGTCACGCGAGAGTTGCGAAGTCACGCGATACCGGGGGGGAAGGGGAAGCCCCGGCGGCGCGCTGACGTCACCGCCCCTCCGAAGGGCGGGAAACGTGTGGGGGAGGGGCAATGGCAGCACGTGTCTGAATCGGACCCGTGGGCCCACTCCAGGGCTAGTGTGGACTGAGCCAGCACGCAGGGGTGGTGGAGCCTCTTTGGCACAGGGCCCACGCTGGTTCTGGCATGCCCAGTAACCCTCATGCAACCCATGCGGCCGGATGAGTTGACATCCCTGGTCTAAACTATTAGCAGAACGGCACAACCGCAGAGTATATATAAGACCCCGACATGCCACAGACAAAGCAGAGGGACCACGGTGGGCTCTTTCAGAGGCACGAGCTTTCATGGGCTATGGCCAGCTTCAGCAGATGCTGTGAATGATCTTGCAGAGAATGGGAGTACTGTACAGAAAGGACTAAAGTCATTTAAATACAAAGGATACAGAAAGGGGGCACTGCTGAGGGGCAAAGGTGGGCTGAAGAGATCAAAAGGAAACCCAACTCTATGATGTTGTTCACAGCCTGTTAAATGCTCAATATTGTTACCCGTGGACCAACAGTGGCTGGGGAGCATTGCTGTATGCCAACATAGGAAGTGAGCTAATCCGTCCAGCTCTTCGTGGTATCACGTGAAAAGCTCAGAGCTGAAGGGCAGGCAAAATTGGTACATTAATTCTGACATGTATGCAGCCAGCCAATGGCACAGAATAGTGCTCATATTTAAAAAAAAAAAAAAAAGTACAAGGAAACAGTATTGTAAATTTGGTGGGTACAAATAATCCATCTTCTTCCTTCTTACCTGAACTAATCTCAGACTGAGCGGAAATGTGAGCGAAAGCTACGACCTTGAGAACTATCAAGCGTCAAAGGTGACTTGCAACAAAACAAAGAGAGTCTTAAAGTACAGTTCGGGTCTCAGTGCAAAGTTTCAATAAACATTTATTTTGTTTAAGCTGTCACAATACCATAATTCATTTGTGAAATTGGTTTACAAATATTTAACTACATAATACGTTGATTTGGTGGTCATATAAGTAATAAATAAAGGCATGTATAGCTTTGTAGAAAATAAGTTTGATATATTCATAACTACTTAACATCATCAAGTAGAACCTAATATTTTCCCTAAGAGTCACATGTCAAAAGTATACATACACCATTTTCTTCAGACCCAATCATTTTACATAAACATCCAGTTGTACAAACTTAAACACTATCTAAACTTGAAATCTGATGTACAAAACAGCATGTGAAATCACTAACATCAGTGCTGATAACTAGTGCTACAAGAGCAAATATAATTTAAGAAAAAAAGATCAATTTTAATGTGCTAATCATCATCACAGTCCAATGAAATTCTCCAAAAGTTTAAAATACATGCTGATACAATAAAATCGTTGTATTCTCAAAAAACAGATAAATGGAATTTACGGTCGGTAACATCATTAGCTGCCAAATACAGATTATTGGTGTGTGAGGCAAATCACATTAAAAACTTTACGCCATCGAAAAACTAAGGTTTATACTTGTCTATTTTCCATATTTACTATGCAACAAATCTTTAAAAGCAAATCACAATTCAAAGAACGCACTATTAAGTACAGTACTGAGCTACACCAGATTTTGTACATTGTACTCTGACATCCAAAACCACTTCTAAAAGCATTACATTCTGAATATAATAAATCATTTATCTATAGGTGAGGTGTGAACTCTGAGATAAATTACTACAAATGTAAATAGTTCTCCAGAACGTTGATGTATTGAAATACATACAGAAATAGAGAAGTTTCAAATATTAGGCCTTGAAGCATGACGCTTAAACACTTAAGACCCTAGTGGAATTTCTGACACCAGACAGTCTGAACTCCATTGTAAGCTATCGTGCGTCAAAACAGTACAAGTAAGGTGTCAGTATTTCAAGTAGCTGCTAAAAACAGGAAGATCAGATGGAACAGTTCAAAATCGCTAGCCTTTTGAACTAAGGACAGGGTTTATCTATGCTAGTGAATGCATAGGCACTACTGCCCATTCTGCAACAAGCAGTCTAGTGGTTAGAGCAAGGTACAGGGAGTCATGAGATCTGGGTTTTATTCTCATCTCTGCCACCAACCTGATATGTGGCATTGGGCAAATCGCTCAAACTCTGTGCTTCAATTTACCATCTGTAAAATGGGGACACTCATCTCTGTAAAGTGCTTTGAGACCCTCAGATGAAAGGCAGCATAACAGCAATGCATTCTCACTGCCAGTAGGATAAATTTATGAAGAATGAAGCACAAAAACCTAGCAAATGAACAGTGGAGTTTCACATGGAAAAATTAAGAATACACACACAAAACCAGACTTACCTCCCAAGACCATATCCACTACAGCGCACATTAACATTCTGAGCATTTTCAAGTATATGTGTTGAAGGTTAGTTTGTGCTCTTTTAAAATGACTACTCCTAAATCTGACCACAGAAAAAGAAATGAGTACTGGGAAACAATACTGATTAGAAATAACAAATTTTACACATGCTGCTTTTCCAATAACATTTCACTGTACATGGGACATAAGCAAATACAAAAATATATTTTTTGTGCATGCAACCAAGTAAGCAAATTTGGGAGAAGAGTTAAACCAAGAGGTCTGGTTTTACCAAAATTGAAAGATGTCACTAAAGGGAAACATGGGAAGAATATTAAGTAATTTTTATATAACATTTTAAAATAAATCTCTAATATTCAGCTCTTATTTTTACATTAACCTTTTATAATCAGTGCTTTTCACTACAATATTACCTATGGATTACCTAAAATACACTGACTCCTCCGAGTTATCTTCCATAGCAGCAATCCCATTGAAGTCTATGACGCTACTTGCATGAATAAGGCTTTGCATATTTTGGTCCAAAAGCCTCAAATTCGGCAAAGAACTTAAGTAGAGGTGCTTAAGTGCTTTGCCTAGGCAAGGCTTTAATCTCTCATTCTAGGTCTATTTTGTAGCCCAACAGACTACAGTGTATACTATATCCCATCTCCCCCCCAACTCTTTTGTTCCTATTAGTTGGACTATTCATTAGCAAGCACCATGGTTAGTAATTCACAGTCAAGCCTGTTTCATTTTGAACAACTAGCTTTAAGTTATAAGGATGCAGAAAATGAGCTGCACAAACAAGTATACTGCAATTTAAATATGGCTTTACTAACCTGAAAGTCTGCACATCATCATAGTGTTTATCACCTGGTTTTTACAGGGAAGGAATTTTTTTTTAGCACAACTACTTTGCAACTGTCAGCAAAAAATTCACAGGATTTTGGCTGTGTACAGAGTGCCACTCAGACGGCATGGTATCCTGTGGTATATACAGTGTCAATGGCATGTTAAACCAATACACTCATCTTAAGTGACTGCTAAAAAGCTAGAACTATCAAAAGATGAGAAACCTACATGTTAAAATGGCCATATACATGGATTTAAATAAGCCTATGTAAATTTAAATGTGACAGACCAAGTAAGGTTAGTCAAGTTACATGAATTTGTAGAATAGACTTACACTTCAGCCTTTAAAATAAATTAGAATGAACTTTCCCAAAAGTCACATTCAATTAAATTTCAAAATCCTGGGTTAACCTAACAGCAGCAGCAACTTAAAAGATAAATAGCCAATTTCTACTCAAGTTGCACATGTGCAATTGCACAGAGGGAAGTTTACACATGGGGGACAACAGGTTTTGGCTCAGCAATTCAGATTTATTTCCTTGGGTTTGCTTTTGCTCAGTTTCCAACACATTTTTGTTTGTTTGTTTTTGTTGGGTTGTTTTGTTTGGGGTTTTTTTGCTTTTAAACTAGGAAACAGTGTTCCTGTAGCGGTGGTGCATTTTATCCATCTAAATATTTATACTGTGCTCATCATTACAGTATGCTTCCTGCTATACTTCCCAAAATACCCTTGAGGACATTGCATTACTAACATTATATTACTACTTTCTTCCCTGAGATTACCTTTGCCTCAACGCACTTCGAACTCTACGAAGCCAGCGTTGTGATGAGCCAAGCTTGGTTACATATACATTAGGTTACATATACATGCAGCCCACCAAAATAATGTTGCTTCAAAGCACTAACATCACTTTGAAATATGACCCCTTTTTATAAGCTCATCTCCTAATGTGCCTGACCTCCCCCAAAATCCACTACAGTGAGGATACAGACTTCAAGCAAAAAGCACCTATAAAAACCTATTACAACTTTAGAAAAAAAATCCAGATCTTCCTGAAGATAAATTTATTGCCGCTTACTGGTCCTGAGAAAGCTTAAAGCAACAATACATTTGCAAGTATTTTATCTGCTGCCTTTTTTCTAAGGAAGTATGTGGGTCCTGAGATTAAAAATCATATTTCATCCTATACGATTCTATTTGAAAAATGCTTTAGCTATGAAGATCAGCTATAGTCTGCCACTAAACATTTTCTATCACAGCATGCTTCTTTCCTTCAAATTCCTTCCAAAATTTCACACACTGAATTTAAAGTTCTTAATATGAAAAACTAATAAAGAAAACTATACAACTGCAGAGAGGTATGGGCTCTCCATTTTGAAGTAGTGTTAAATGACTTCTAATTTCTGGAGAACCCCTCCTATCTGCCATTAAAAGCCATGGTATGAAATAATTGGCCTGAACCCAAAATATTCATCAGCTACCACGTGAAAAGTCAACTTCAAGGCAATTAAATAAGTCAACTGTAAAATAAAATGATAGGTCACAACTTGTGAGGGGTGGGGGAGGAGACAGGAAAACAAGGACCCACAATAGTTACTTCTCCATAGAAATGTTTGGTAGCTTGAGAGATTTTTAATTTTTTTTTAATGTCAAATTTGCATACGCTCAGCTCAATTTCAGTATTTTAAATAGACTACTCAGTTTGCTTTTATAAAAACTTTACAAAAGATGTTTTTAAATGCTTGTAAAAGTAGTTGTTTATTTACTGATAAAATTCTAGTCATGGATAAAATCTCTGAATATACAGCTGACATCTCATATCTTATTTTTACAAGTATAACGTCTCAAGTGTATAGTCTAGATAAATTACTCTTATCCTTAATATACACTCTAAAGTTTTAACATTGAACATTTTTACCATGGATGTTTTGTTGCTTTGTAACTTTTTAATGATCGTGCTTAGTAAATATCTAGAGAGCTGGTGTAAAGTGATCTATAGATTTATTCCATTAGTCGTTGCCTCTGTCCATGTTCTCGATCACCCTAGTAAGACGGATGTTCAGAAGTCTAATTTGACTGTCAAGATGGTCAATCTTCTCCTCAAGGCTGCTGCTGCTGTTTCTCCTCCAATAAAATCCAACAGGCCCAGTCATGAAATAGACAGCTACAACAAAACACAGAGGCAAGACTGCATGCTCTGGTTCACCTTCATACTTCTGGAGAATGTACACACACGACAGGGCGAACAGAGCAACTCTCACGATCCAGAAGAAGCGACCAAACACCATATGCAAGAGATAGAAGAAGAATCCAACGAAGAGAGACAAAAACCAGTAGGCAAGTAAAATGGCACCAACCAGCAGCAGGGCACGGGTAGGGCTGCTGGCAACTGCTGCTGGGCTGAAATAATGGGTCAAGTTGGAGGCTGAAAAATAAAGAAACGTTCATGAGATAAATCAAAAAGGCAGTTTAATTAGAAGTGGGCAGAGGTAGCTGTAAGCGTAACTACTGAAGGGCCATATTACTTGCAGAGCTCTCAAGATTGGTTTCTAAGAATAGGAAAAAAAGCTCATTCTTCATTTCCTGGATAATGACACAGGGTGTACTCTGATGGATCATGGCACAATTCTCTGAAGTGCATACCACAGTGCCAGTCCTACTTTGTTGCTTACTACTTACATGGTAACAAAAGCTGTTTGGCATCCTAGCGCACATAGCATCTTTCAGGTACTTCAGAGTAAGTGAACCCTGTTTAACTGCATATTCACAAGGGTCAAAACAGTAGCTGGCAAAGGGCTCCTATAAAAAGCCTTGAAACTGATGGCAACTGATGAGTATCATGGCTACTGTCACCTCCTGTTCTCTAGTAGCAGCTCTGAAACCAGCTAGTCCTCATCAGGTTCAAGGGTTTTTAATGGCAGAGAGAAACTGACTACTACAATGACAGGAGCTCATCAGTTATGGGGCTGGTAGCACCAAAGCCCCCATAGCCTGTATCCTTCACAAGCATTGTTCAGGTTAAGTGTAGAGAACTGCATTGTTTTGGGGGATTTTTTTTTTTAGCTTTACACAGAATACACTGTATAAAGTGGCATACAGTAGCCTACTTTCTGAATAGCAACCAATGGACCATCTCTATTTTTGCAATTGAGTGACTTCTATTAAATAAGAGATACAAAACATTCTCTGAAGGAGGACAAAAGCTTTGAATGGTACAATATGGCCTTTTTGAAGTCACAACTTTTAGCTTTTTGTTCAGCTGCATTCAGCCTCACCCACTGAATAAACACATTCAGCCCTTTGGGACTACCACAGTTCCCACTGTTTCCCTTCTCCCTCATTCTGTGCTCTTTTTTCCCCCCATTCCCAGGTTCTTTCCTTATCTTGTAACCCATCGTTCCTCCCCACACCTTGTTATTCTCCCTTTGCAGCATCTCTTTGCAGTTTCCTCCCTCATCCCATCTAACAAAATGAGCAGCAATAAAATTAAAACATGTATAAAGATTAATGGACACTTCACATACATGCAAGTCATCTTAGAATTATTCATTTTTGCAACGTCTAGAACCCAGAACCAGCAGGAAAATAACTTAGCAAGGAAAGCGTTATCCAGATTTTTAGCTTGCCTATCCTTTGTTTTAAGATGCAACACCTATAACAGCTCTCAAACTTTGTTTAAAAAAATGCACAAAACACTGGAGCCAAGTGCAGTCTACTAGAAGAGACCTTCAACCACAAGCAAGTGTGCTGCCATATTAGTTATCAAAGCACATGGATAAGATGCAGCAGTATGTCCTGATAGAGGGAAAGCTGGGCATGCTGTCAATCTAGCAAACGATATCAGGTTATGAGGGATCATTCCATCATGAACTGTTGCATAGCACATTATAGGAAGCAACTTCACTAACTTCAACAGGCTTTCCATCACTCAATGACAAACTCAGCAGGTAAAATTCCTACTTAGGATCCTGTCTGATCCACCGCATCCCCTGGATCACAGGTGATCTTCCCTTGCAGGTAGATGGGTCGGGAGAATATTCAGAGTGCTCTGCATGACCAGAGCCACCATTAGAAGAATATTAAAAGCATCATAAATACTATACCAGGGAGGGGGAAGGGGAAGGAAAAAGGGGGAGGAATAAATATTCAAAAAGGAAACAAGAGAAAGGAAGGTGAAAGGCACAGATGCAAACAACATGAAGAAAAAACTAAAATGTCACCAAAAAAAAAAAGTACATAGGCATTTTCAGACCTTCCCAGACAGAACTTTTCAATAGCTGATCTTTCCAAAGGAGGGAACAAATACCCAACCATGTTGACAATAGAAAAAGATTAAGCTACAGACCTCACCCACTCAACCCACTGGGAGGGAGGAGGTTCAGTCTTTCAGAGGACATAGAGTCTTAACAACATACTTCACTCCCTTCTGGAGTAATAAGGAGAGAGATAGGGCAGGTAAAACTTGGGAAATTATACCATAAAAAATTCAAACTAAATGTGGGAAACAGGCTGTGCCAACACACCAGATGATAGCTACCTAAACTAGCCTGCATAGCTGTGTGCTGCAGATGGAAATTGTCCTTTCTAGTGCCTTGGACAGACAAGGCACAGTCCTAAGGTTTAGCAAAAGCAGTAAAACAAAGTTTAAGTACAAACTTGGCCACACTTAGAAAGTTTTGCAAGAAATCAATTGGCCAAGAGTTTCAATTCATTGTACTACCAGATCTCTGACTTTACAGCTGGCTGGTCAGGGTCTCTTTCAATTCCCTGCCTTAGAAGGTAGAAAATATAGAGCAGTGCGGTTGTTTAACTGCATTTATTCACAAATATGAACTGAAACCTCAAAGCTACGTGAAGTGAACACAGATACCACACTGATGACTTACAAGTTATATAACAAAGATAGCCTGAGTAACAGAAAAGCAAAAATAAGAAATAACACTCTGCAATCTTCCGAACCCTCTAAAAACATCTGCAATGATTACCTGACGTAACTTTAGCGTTCCCAGCCACCACACTTACCATCAATTCCAAGAACATCTAGCAGATCTGTCCATATCCTCCAGAAAGTGTCTACTAAAACATCCACCCCATACACAAACCTCTCTGTCAGCCTAGAGAAAAACTGTGAAATAAAACAATTTAAAAATTAAGAAAAACCTCCATCGATCTTTAATACATTCTCACACTCAGAATCTGAAACTTAGCCCTGGTAACACAGTAAATCATAGGAGCCAAGTTGCAAAACATGATAAACCCCCCCCCCCCCCCGCCCCAAGCAATAAAAGCAACAGGGTTCTGCCCATAAAAATAGATTTCATTTATATTTTTATATTTCATCTCTCGTAGGACCCAACCATGGGTTTCTGGCTTCCATACTAAAGTTAACAGATTATTATTTTTTTAAAGCACCCACATGATCTATTCTGAAGTTAGAAGCAGTACAGAAATCATGGCTATCGGGAGGGTTCACATCACTGATCATTAAAAAAATATATACCGATCAATCAACTGAGTGACGCATATTCCCCATCACCATAGTACCCAACTGCTGCCAAAGCATTTAACAAATTTCTCTCTTCCTTTCTGGCCGGAAGGAAAAATAGCTGGATGAACGCGGAGGTTTGTTCGCGGTCACATCAGGTCAGGCCCATTCGCGACTGGCACCCGAGCGATGCAAAACCCCGCTCTCAATCCAGTTCTCAGGTCTTTACTGCCAACCTATCCTACCCTCGAAGATTGCAGGAACCGGGGGCCGGACGGACCTCGGAGATCATCGAGTCCGTAGTTTCTCAACCGGTGGTACGTGCACCCCCAGGGGTATGCGGGTACCCCAACGCACTTGCTCTCTCTCACCCCTTCCTCCTCTCAAAACTATAGCAAAAAAATTGGTGCGCCGCGCATCAAAAACTCAGAATTTGGTTCGGGGGCCAGGACACATGAACAGGGCTTGTTTAGTGCGGAGAAGAGAAGGGGGATTTAACAGCAGCCTTCAACTCCCTGCAAAGGGGGGGGCGGCAACGGGGATAGAGCCGGGCTGTCCTCAGCGGTGACAGAAGAAGCAATGGGCTCAAGCTGCGGCCAGGGAGGTTCAGGCTGGAGATGAGGGAAACCTCTGCGCGCCGGGGGAGCGGGCGGCGCAAAGAGACCGACACGGGCTCACCTTCTGCAGCGCCC